ATATAATATAAAACATACAGTTTATGATTTCATCTCAATATTTGTCACGAACAGGTTGTGATGTAAGCAGAGTAGCCAGTTAACATCATTTACCCAAAATGCCTTGCAAAAATAAACATGACGTCGTTTGTATGACAATATATACATTTAATTAATAAAACCTAAACAGACTATTGTATTTTTACAGTTTTCTTATTGATGACGTACATGTTCATCAAAAGGCTTATTGTTACAACTAATCAAAGATCCATTTTAAAGCAACTGCCAGTGGCTCCATGGTAACCACAAACCTATCTCTGTCACTCCCTGAAATGATTTCCCACTGTAACCAATGTTCCTCATCTAAACAGTTTATTTCTGCTCATGTGAAACAGATCCGTGTAAAAAGCGGGATTTCCTGAGTGATAAAAGTATCACAAGTTATGTCAATGGGAATTTACAGAAAAGGATGAACACAGTTAATTTATTTTATTTTAACCTTTATTGAACCAGGCAAATGCCAACCTTCTTACTGTGAGGCAACAAAGCTGACCACTRATCCACTGTGCTTCATTATTTCTGTTGACTTCCTGTTTGTAAATTTACTCCAAAAACACATTTTTCTCTCCTTGGCTTTTAACTTGGTAAAATTCTGAATGTTTAATGTAAATTCTGAATTTAATTCCAGAATTCAGTCAAAAATACAATAAAAYAATGAGAATTAAAAGATCATATTGGTCATAATATTCTTTCCTATGATGGAGTATTAGGACCAGACTGACCAGACTCTGGTTTGTTTACCAGGAAAACTCACTTCGTGATGGATCACACATCATTTGACCRGTGAGTAACAGAGCTACTGCAAGCTGACAGTGCTTTTTTTCCTCCCAGTTTTAATTCACATATTTAAGGCTGATCAGATTGTATTAGCTTGTTATATGAAACTTGTTTAAATTTGCACATTTTGCAGCATCCACTAGGAGGCCTTTTGTCCTGCAGCTCATACCCCACTTGTGTTTTTGCTGATTGTCCTTTGCTTCCTACTYGTTTCAACTCGACCAGCTCTAAATGGTAAAATCAAATTCTGAGTTCCAGTTGTATCAAAACWCAAATTTCTGAAGCTGGACTGATGTCAGTGCTGAGGTGAAAGTGTTCTAGTTTCAGACATGTCAGAACAATATATTTTTATTGTACTGAGTATAAACATATCTCCTATAAACATATAAAGCAGGAGTTTCCAAAGTGGGGGCCACCAGGGGGCGCCAGGGCGGGCCTCAGAAGGCTGGATGAAAGATAAAAAAAAGTACAAAAAATGTTAGATATTAAAATAAATATGGTAAATATTAACTAACATTTGTTA